AAAAATTGAATTTGTGTTTGCTTGGCTCCAACATGCTTGACCAGTATTCTTATTACATGACTCACCAATAGCTGTCTGTAACAGTTTAGTAATTCAGTGCATCCTGTGGGATGGAATTAATTTTACTCTTCAAAAAATATCTGTTTATGCAGTGATGTTAGTAATGCCAGTTGCTGGTGTATGCTGTCCAGTCCTTTAGAAGTATCATACTAGTGGTGTGATGAGCTTGATATTGCTTTCACAAATTGTTAGCTTTTAGTTGGATTGTTCCCTCTTGTGAACAAATTAATGGTTTGTGTCCAGGGTAGAGGTCACAATTAAAGTGATTGTTTTTTTTGGTGACTAAACATCTTGAGGTGCTACAACTTGTCAAATGAGAGTTTCACTTACTTGGAGAGAAAGGTAACTTAGGATAATCTTATGAGCAATACTTAACTAATTTTAATGTAGGAAATCTATAATAGAATTTACATTAAAGGCCAACATTTATTTTGGCATAAGATTTTGGGGGGGGGGAGGAGAACCATGTCAGATGCAAACACCCACTTTGTTAGATGCATCGTTCATGAAAGCTTATGCCCAAATAAAATCCTTTGTCTTTAAGGTGCCATAGGACTCCTTGTTGTTTTTGTGGATGCAAACTAACATGGTAACCTGTCATTTACATTAAGCAATTAATAATCTGTCTCTTATTCATAAGATGCAGTCCTCTTATTCATGTAGATGGTATTATCTGAAAAATGCTTAGCCCTTCACATGACCAAACATCTGAGACGAACGCTAAACTTAGTTACATACTAAGAGGTTGATCTGGCATTCCTTTTGCAGCCATGATTCCCATTGACAATAAGAATTTGGCCTATGTTTAACTGTCACCGGACTAGACTTTGTCAGGATTTGGCAAGTAAAATAGCTCATCAGCACCAGTGGCTAGAAGGGATGTCGCTGTTTTAATATTTGGCAGTTGAGAGAATTAGAAGCAGGAACTTATTCAACCTGAAGCCCTGAAACTTTTCTAACAGCATAGGAACTTAAAGTACTTGGTCGTGCCCAGAGCCTCTGTACTAGGGATGTTAAGTAACAATTAATTTGCTAGTTGAGTAGTCGATGGAATTTCCATCAACTACTCGACTAGTCAATAAGCACTTCAGTGTTCCGTCTTTGAAATGTGCAAGAGCCCCGCTGGGCTCTTGTGCATTTCAGAGTTGGAATGCTGCATGGAGCCCAGGGCCAGTGGGAAGTCCCACTGACTCCGGGCTCCACGAAAGCACTTCCGCTTTGAAATTCACAAGAATCTTTGCTGGAACTCTTGTACATTTCAAAGCTGGCACACTGCATGGAGCCCAGGGTCAGCTGGAATGCCACTCCAAGCAGTGATACTGCTTTGAAATGCCAGGTGGAGCCCGGGATCAGCTGGGGACTCCCACCTGACCCTTGGGCTTAATGCAGTGCTGCTGCTTTGAAATGCCACATGGAGCTGATCCTGGGCTTCACCTGGCATTTCAAAGCAGCAGCACTGCACAGAGCCCAGCGGCACTGCCATTTTGAAATGCCACAAGGTACCTGACACTGGGCTCTCTGCAGCATTCAAAGTGTCAGTGCTGCACGAAGCAGCTGACTCGGGGCTCCATGCAGTGCTGCCACTTTTAAGTACCCCGTTCATTTCTCTCCCCCTCCACTCCTTGCTACCGCTATCTGATAAGAGGCAGCAAGCAGAGGGGAATGACTTGTTGATTATCCGGTAAGCATTTGCTTATCTGTTAACTAGTCTTTTAAATCCCTACTCTACACCCCAGGGCCTTGTTCTGTTAGTTTTAATATAGAATCTGTCATTCCAGTCATACACTTGCAGTAGCTTTCAGACATGGTGCAAGGTAGATATGTAGGTGGATAATTATTGCTGCTTTTTATCCACAGGATTTTTTGCGAATGATTTTTTTTCTATATCTGATAACCAGATGAAGACCGTGTAATGCATAGAGACATGTAGAAGAAGAAAAATACAATCCCCTAGAATGTTTACAATCTAAATGCTGCAACAAGGTGGCTCTGGTTTTTGCCACCTCTTGTGACTTTACAAGGCATTTTGCTTTTTCTTGAAACCATAGCTTTCATCTTAAATTTCTAGACATCCGTGTTAAAGCAAAGCTTGAGTTCTACCCTTAAGCTTCAAATATTAAAAGTCAAGTGAGGATATTATCTTTGTTATAGGAAAAAAACAACAAATGGTCTGGTAGCACTTTATAGACTAACAAAACATGTAGATGGTAGTATGAGCTTTTGTGGGCACAGCCCACTTCTTCAGATGACCGGAGTTATGAGTTTGGGATGTGTACACTTGAAATAAATAGAAGAGGGGAAGGGAAGAGAAGAACAAGGGAGGTGGGAGACAGAGCATCAGTAAGTATCTGGAGAATGGGTACTTAAACCAAAGCAGATAAAAATCAAAGTCAATAGATAGATTCCCATGTTAGGAAGGAAACTACACAGAGAGCTGTTAGCACCTTCAATGGTTGTTAAATTGGTAGTGTCCCAACCAACTTTTATCACTATTGAATCCTTTAGTATGTGAATTGAATTTGAAGATGAACTGTAATTCCAATGATTCCCCTGTGGATTTAGCTTGTAGAGCTCCTTTGTGACAAGACTTGGAGATCTGAAACAAAAGACAGGACTATGCAGAACTTTCAAGACTAACAAGATGGTTTATTAGGTGATGAGCTTTCGTGGGCCAGACCCACTTCCTCAGATCAATATGTGGAAGAAAATTGGCACAACAATATATACCAAAGTGATACCTAATAAATAAACCATCTTGTTAGTCTTGAAAGTTCTGCATAGTCCTGTCTTTTGTTTCAGATCTCCAAGTCTTGTCACAAAGGAGCTCTACAAGCTAAATCCACAGGGGAATCATTGGAATTACAGTTCATCTTCAAATTCAATTCACATACTAAAGGATTCAATAGTGATAAAAGTTGGTTGGGACACTACCATATAGCAGTGGAGCATTGTTTTAGTTAGTCTGTGTAAGCTAAGAGTAGTTTTTTTTGGTGTGCTTTACATGATTTTTAAATAGATGGGTTGGCAATACTAGTAAATACTTAAGCCCAGCCTCACAAAGTTATTTAAGCTCTTTCTAGTAAAATCAATGGAAGTTAAGAGCCTAAATGCTTTTAAGTCCAATGTGAAAGTCACATAACTAACATGCTCTCCCAGGTACCTTGGGGAAAATTACATACTGTAATGTCTGAACTTTAAAACCCATACCACTGTACCTGTCCCTATGCATTCTCTTATTTTGGTATAAGTGTGTGGTTGTGGTGTTTAGATCATCTAACCTAGAAAGCTGATTAAGCTAAATGCCAAAAAGCCCCTTACTTTGGCACCTCAGAGACCAATACACATATCACAAGCTTTCAGTGGTGGTAATCCCTTCATCAGCTCAGTTGGAGTGGAAATTGTGTGTGTGCGCGCGCACACACACACACACACACACCCGCCCCCTGGATCTGTAATAGAAAAAGCAGTTACCTGTCAATTGTAGGGCCAGTGTTTTTGAAGCTAATTGAGCAAGGCTGAATGTGTCCAGCTCTTGATGTGTAAATGCAAATATCAAAGATGGGGGACATTGTTCTGCAATGTGTTTGTTCATGTCTTAAGCCATTCTTGCTACACTGGTTTAAGTAGACAGGTAGGCTACGTCTAGACTGGCATGAATTTCCGAAAATGCTTTTAACAGAAAACTTTTCCGTTAAAAGCATTTTCGGAAAAGCACGTCTAGATTGGCAGGATGCTTTTCCGCGAAAGCACTTTTGGCGGAAAAGTGTCCGTTGCCAATCTAGATGCGGTTTTCCGCAAAAAAGCCCCGATTGCCATTTTCGCGATAGGGGCTTTTTTGCGGAAAACACGGCTGTGCTGTTTACACTGGCCCTTTTGGGCAAAAGTCTTTTGGAAAAAGACTTTTGCCCAACCGGCAGCAGCATAGTTTTTCCGGAAAATCACTGATGATCTTACATGAGATTTACATTTACATTTCCGGAAATGCAAGCAGCCACTGTAGACAGCTGGCAAGTTTTTTTTTTGCGGAAAAATTGGCCAGTCTCAATCCAGCTGCATAGTATAATATTACTAAACATGTACAGTAGCAACGGATGCTGATGGGAGGGATTATCTCATTGACAAAAGCCAGGAGCTAGTTTCATGGAAGAATTCTTTTGTTGAGCTGCCTGGTGGTGGTTAAGCTGGTGTGGTTGTGGATTTTGGGTGTGGCTTTCCTTCTATGAACCTACTATAGTTCCTGTTAAGCAGGACCATGCTGCATCAGTCCAATGAACTATGAAGCTCAAATGAACAGAACAATTTTGAGTGACATCCCTTATCGTCCCACCCCAGCTTCTGGCTGAGTTAGCAGTACCTGCCTCATTACTCATTTGCTAACTGCACCCCCATCCCTGACGCTCAGTCATATTCCCAAGCACTAATCAGCTGGCGCTCACCCCAGCACGCTAGTCACAAGTGTCAGCGCCGCCAGCTGAGCGGAAGGAACTACACCTCCCATCATGCTCTGCCGCGCCAGCACGTGGCGGCTGACGGGCCCATGGGGCTCCCCCGAGCCATGGCGGAGGCCGCTCGCTGACTCCCCTCGCAGGCGGCCCGGCTGGGACCCGGGGAGGCCGCCCAGGTAAGGGCGACGCGAGGCCGAGTCTCGCTCACAAGGGGCCCGGCTGTGGCCCCCCGCTGGGAGGAACAGGAAGTGACGTCAGGGGGGCCAGCGAGGCTCCTGGGAAATAAGGGGGGACAGGGTCTCTAGGCCCCTCTTCCCCGGGCCCTGGTGGGGGAGGGTTGGTGACGTCGGCGCGTGTCGCATCACCCTGCTTACGTCACGGTACCACGTGCGTTTGTGTGACGCTCACAAGGGGCCCGGCTGTGGCCCCCCGCTGGGAGGAACAGGAAGTGACGTCAGGGGGGCCAGCGAGGCTCCTGGGAAATAAGGGGGGACAGGGTCTCTAGGCCCCTCTTCCCCGGGCCCTGGTGGGGGAGGGTTGGTGACGTCGGCGCGTGTCGCATCACCCTGCTTACGTCACGGTACCACGTGCGTTTGTGTGACGTCACTGAGGCCATTGCATGACGTAGGTGGCGTAAGTGGTGGTACAACACCTGCACCCATGGGATGTCATCGATGCCCTGGTGTCACGAGTGACGCGGGACATGCCTGTGTGATGTCATCCGTGGCGCGTGCGCCTGTGTGATGTCATCCGTGGCACAGCGGTCTAACCGTGGTGCTGAGATACCGGCGCCTGGTTGGCCTCGTCCTGTGGCTGTGACACGGGTGTAGCCGTGGTGCTGTGGAACGTGTACCCCTGCTATCCATGCAGTGATTGCCACACAGCGATGGAAAGATGCCGGAGCACATGTAGCCTCATTTGATGGAACCAGTTGATGTCATGACGTTGTTGTGTGACATCAGTGTCGCAGCTGGGTGTTTGGCCTCTTCATGCTATGATGTAAAAGAGCATGTGACCAGATTGTGGGTCCTGTATTGTCTTTTTGACACCAGTACATGGTGATGTCATATCATTTGACATGATGCGATGGTGCCTTGAAGACAATATTATGTGGTCACTGAATTTGCATATTTATGGCAGTTTCACCACATCTCTGTGCATCCTTGCTACATTATGAACAATCAACACGCTATGCCACTAGGAAATCATAAATTTTTGTATGTGATGTGATGTCATGTGACATCACCATAAAATGCCAGTATGAGGCCAACCTGTGTTGTAATGTGCCATCCTCCAGCAAAGGCTATGACTACCCCTAGTGTTTGGGGTAGTTAGTTTAGTTAGTTACACAGACAACATGCTCATATTTATTGAAAGTGATGCAGATCCATCGTAATTTTAGTACAGATAGACAAATTGCCTATGAGCACTTTAAACATTGTTATGTCTAACCCTGATCTGAGCTGAGCATCCGCTCAATGATAAGGTTTTAAAAACATTGGGAGCCTAATCTGCATGAATGTCTGTACTGTCATTGACACCAACACTCCAATGTTGGCAACAGTGGGATTTTGTTCACAGAAATAGTGTAGACAAAGCTGTTGAGTTACTATGATATTATAATGCAACATTCTGCATAGTTTCTTCAATGTGATGTGATGGTGCAGAGATTGTTATATAACCATATTTTTGCCTCATGTTCAAGGAAGCTTATCCTAAAGAATGCTGGATCAGGATATCGTATGCTATGACTTATCTGATGTACCACCCTTCTGTATTAGAAGCTGGATGGAAGCTGCTTCATGATTATGCTAAATAGGCACAGCCTTTGGGCTGCTGGTATATTGGCAAATGCAACAAAATTTGGAATCTCTTTATTTAGGAAGATCTAAAGGCTGAAAATGATCTGTTCAGTCTAGCTTCTAAAATACCTTTTTTATTCAAGCCAGGTGTGACTTGGAAAGGAAGGATACCTACCAAACAACTGCATTCAGACACACTGATTATATAATGCTGCTATGCTCTTTGTCTGCATATTTTAAATATGAATCAAGGAGTAGACACTAAATCCCTCAAAAGAGTCTTTCAAACAATATTACATTTCTTCTCCAGTATTTTCAGAATTCTTATTATTTGTGTGTATCAGTGACCTGCTTTTTTTAAACATCTAAGTAATAAAACTATAGAGATTCAGCTGAACATGTAACATTATACAATTATTTTATATAACCAAGTTTGTACATGTTTGGTAGTTACTGTTCAAAGTTCCATAACTTCTTATTCTGTTCTGGGCGAATGTGACATACAGCCAGCATTATTCCATCCTCAAGTTGACTCATCTCTTCAAGTGTTCACAAGAAATGAGTCGACCACATTATCATGCACATACAAACAAACTTCCTGCTTATTTAAAAACAAGTAGTTCCGTGGCACTAACAAAAAGAACTACTCATTGTTTTTAAAGTTCCAGACTTAACACAGCTGCCCCTCTGAGACTTTCCTGTTTATTTGTTCATCTAGTTCCCAGTGTCTTCCTTAGATTGGAAACTCTTTGGAAAGGTAACTAGCATTAGTTTTGTGTCTCTCCTTCTGCCATGCACATTGCTGGCACTGAACTAATACATAGTTACACTTATGGTATGGGCCACATCCTGTGAAATAACTTTACCTTATCCTTTGCTCCAACATAAGATAGCTGTGAGCACAAATAGATGAATAGGTTTCCATGCATAGTGTTTGTGTTGTTGGAGAGGGCTCCATTTAATTTCCTACCTACAATACATTGGCAGATTTCAGCTTTCTTTAAACATTCATTGGGCTATTGCTAGTGGTCTCATGAAGATTTGTTCACTGACATATTCATTTTGGTTATATCTAGGCTTGGAATGATGAGGGTTTTTTCAGTATCAGTAAATGTCTATTTACTGTACACACAAAAGTCAGTGAAAAATATTTCCATTAATGATAATCAAAATGTGCAGATAGGCAAAGCAAGAAAAGTGCTATTTGAGAGCTTATTAAGGTTTGATTTAAGGGTATTTACTTTGTACATTTTGACATGTGACATTGACTATTTGTGTTTAACAGTTATAAAGCTTTAACTTTTTGAATCTCAGAATCTGATGTCATTACATCATTTTGCTCCGTTCTCCCACCCCCTGCACATGATTTCCTGCAACTGTGAAAATTTAAATAGATGAAAATTTGTAAAAAGGCTTTCAATGGGCCACTGACATAGCCACTCAAAATGATAAAGAAGGAAAACATCAAATTCTGCCGCCTAGTCTATTTCATTTTGTATAGTAAAAGCCATTAGATCAGTTCGTGCTCTCATTCTTTTGCCAAAGTGCTAGCAGATATCATTCTTTGAAATCCTCGCCTTATACATTCTACTCCTGGGTATCCAGTATGTTCCAGAGGTGACTTTCTGCCAGATTAATTGTAAATCCAGGTCTGACCCTCTGTGCAGCAGTGCTCGGTTGTGATCTCACAAGAAAGCATGACAATCAGTCACCAGTAGATCAAACGGAACTTCTTTATTATGACACCTCTAAATTTAGAGAACATAAGAACGGCCATACTGGGTCAGAGGCCAGACACTGGTCAGAAGTCCAGGAAGACTTAAGTGTCAGATCTCACCTTTTCCCACCCACCACAAACACAGAACCCACATAAGACATTCTCATCTGAAACTGTGAGTACAAGTTGTATCCTGTGTTGCTTTTCCCTGAACGGAGCATTGCATTAGGTGACACTGTGGTGCTATGGGAGGATGAGATTTGTAATCCTGCTATATATAATGTTTACCTTTTTGTCTGTATCTCCTAGCATGCTGAGAACTCCAGCTGTAATGACTGCATATAAATAAAATGTGGAAAATAGTTGATTTTCACTTTTAGGGCTCTTCAGAACTGTTCCCTCATCTCACTACCGTCTCCCTCCCTTTTCAATGCACACTGTTTTCTCTTCCATAACTGCTGTTTGTATCTTGTTTTCCTGCTCTTTTATTCACCTGACCTTCCATGTCATTCCCTCAGTCTTCCTTACACTTTCTTAACAATCCATAAGGACTTACATTTCTACAGTGCCTTTCTTCACCATCGGCCGCCTCCTGTAAGCCACGTGCAGAACTCTCATGTTCAGCCCCATATCTCAAAGCAAGAACCAAGGCATTCTATCACTATTACACATGAAGGGAGGCTGCCATTGGCGCAGGAAATCAGCTGTCATTCGGAGAACCAGTACACAGCTCATTGCGCAGCAGCGGAGAGAGGGCAGATTTTGGGCATGACCTCAGAGCCAACCCTTACTCGGTGGAAGCAGCTGGGGATTTTTAATATCCATGCAGCGCAGAAAGGAGATCTTATATATATTTAAAGGACACATAAAAACGACTCTTGATAACAAGCTGTATGTTTCTGTCTTAGAAGAGCCGAAACAACGTTGCTAGCATTTGACACCTGGGCCAGATCATCGAAGAGATTTAGACACCTAACTCCCATTGTAATCCCATTTAGATGCCTAAATACTTTTGAGGGGCTGGTGTTTAGAGTACTATCCAGAGTGCTCAGTCTTTACTCTGAGTTGTGTCAGGGCCTGCATTGCCTCTAGCCCAGTTTTACGTTGGTGTAACTCCATTGACAGTTATAGAATTATTCTTTAGTTTTACCCGCAGGGCAAGGGAGGAGGGAAAGTGGCTGTCTTCAGCAGACCTACTTGTGAGTTAGGGCAGAAAGATGACCTACTTGTGAGTTATGTAGCAAGAATGTCGTAACAGTGCCATTCTGATCAGGGTTTTAGGTTCAGGCCTTATCTGCACACAAACCTTGAATTGCTTTTATATGGGTATAGTTAATACTGCCACCTCATATGCATTTATACCAGTGTAAAAAATGCCTATACTGCTATGGATTTTCCTCGCATGGGACAGAGAGTAAAACTCAGACCTCTCATAAGAATAGTTGTACAAAAACTGCATGTAGCCCAGGCCCCAGGGTGGGTAGAGTAGTATTTTTTATATATAAGCCCCCTTTTTCAGTTTAAACTGATTTTTATTGACAAAGAGTTACAGTGGGGGCGGTCTAGGTTGGATATTAGAAAAAACTTTCCCTAGGAGAGTGGTGAAGCACTGGGATGGGTTACCTAGCGAGGGGTGGAATCTCCATCCCTAGAGGTTTTTAAGTCTTGGCTTGACAAAACCCTGGCTGAGATGATTGAGTTGGGGTTGGTCCTGCTTTGGGCAGGGGGTTGGACTTGATGACTCCTGAGGTCTCTTCCAGCCCTAGGATTCTGTGAACGAGTAGTCCTGTCACACCTCAGAGACTACCAAATATATATATAATATTCCGGGGTTGTTTTATAAAAGGTATGATTTGTTTTGTTTTTGAATTTTCGCCTTACTTTTTGTATCATTCAAATATATAAAACCCTTGTTTAATTAGGAAAATATAGTATATTGAATGCAATATATGTATTACAGTAACACATTACTCTGTGTGAATATGCAAAGTTGCCTGTGGAAATATGGCAATGAGTGTGGTGGTTGTGTGTTTTGTAAGCTCTGAAATGTGCATCCGAACGTACCAAGGAATCTCATACCACGTACACTTTTCAAGCTCTTAGCAGATAACAGTTTAAAGATCTGACACACTGAAAATAGGAAGGAAATGAATATCTATATTAGGGATGTTAAACAGCGGTGAAAATCTTAGTGGTTACACAGTTACATGTTCTGGGCTTCTGCAGACCCAAGGCGCAGCTGGCTCCCTGGGAGAGGAGCCGGCAGCTGGCTGGCAATGAGCTATACAGCATAAGCTTTATACTACACTGCTGAAAACACGGGGCAGTTGCCAGGCTGATGCTTGCTGGAAGCCGACTTTTAAGCCGGCTCCTGGCATATACCAGCTCCTGCCTGATGGCCCTGCTCCCAGGGAGCCAGTTGCTACCCCTGAATCAGAGGCAGCAGCATGGGGCAGCAGCTTGCTTCCCGGGAGCTGACTTGGCCTCACTCCCGGGGAACTCACTGCTGCTGTGGGCTCTGAGTCAGCAGCGTGGGGTGGCAGCCAGCTCCCTGGGACGGGGCCGGGAGCCCGCATGTAACAGTTACAGTAACCGATAAACTCATGCGTGTCGGTTAACCGTTTAAACAATTATACTCTTACATCCCTAATCTATATCAGAATTCATTTCAGAATAAAAGGAAATAATACAAAAGTTTTACAGAAAGAAAACTGGAGAAAAGGATTGAGTGTACGTACTGCAGCTGCAGGGGCCTGTTTTTTAAGTGGAAATATAGACTCACTGATCTAAGTCTATAACAGTAAGCTGTTTATCCAAGTGAAAAGTTTTATTTGGGGTTTAGAGACAGATTGTTTTCTTAAACTCAGAGGTGGCATTGTGTTTTGAGTTCTGCTTTAATTCTGCAGCAAACCACATTGAATTCCATTCATCAAAGCATTAATCTACTGAATAGTTCCCCCCCCCCATTGTTCCGTCCACCAAAATAAACCCTGATATTTACCCAGAAAAATTATTAATATTTTCCACTGATTTTCACTGATTTTTTGTAGTAAAAAAATGCCAATAAATTTCCAGGAAAAATTAAATAACAAACACCAAAAATGAAAGGTACTATGGATATAGTAGATATCTCTAAACTTTGCTTTCTCCTAGATTTGCTTTCTCCAGATATGGTCTCCTCATCTTAAAAAAAAATGGCATTGGGAAAGGTTCAGAAAAGGGCAAATAATATGAGTGGGAGTTTGAAATGGGTCCCATATGAAGAGAGAGAAAAAAGTGGGGGTTTGAAATGGGTCCCATATGAAGAGAGAGAAAAAAGATTGGGACTTTTCATCTTAGGAAAGAGGAGACTAAGGGGGGATATGATCGAGGTCTATAAAATCATGACTGGTGTGGAAAAAGTGAATAAGGAAAAGTTATTTACTTGTTCCCATAACATAAGAACGAGGGGTCACCAAATGAAATTAATAGGTAGCAGGTTTAAAACAAACAAAAGGAAGTGTTTTTTCCCCCCACACAGTGTACAGTCAACCTGTGGAACTCCTTGCCAGAGGAGGTTGTGAAGACCAGGACTTTAACAGAGTTCAAGAAAGAGCTAGATACATTCATGGAGGTCAGGTCCATCAATGGCTGTTAGCCACGATGGATAGGAATGGTGTCCTGGCCTCTGTCAGAAGCTGGGAATGGGCGACAGGAGAGGAATTGTTTGAAGATTCCTTGTTCTGTTTACTCTCTCTGGGGCATTTGGCATTGGCCACTGTCAGCAGACAGGATACTGGGCTGGATGGACCTTTGGTCTGACCCAGTGTGGCCGTTTTTATGTTCAAAGAGATTAAAAATAATGTAGAGAGTGAGCAAGAGTGCATTATCTCCCGGTTTTGTCTCTGTGCACCTCCAAAGAGATTGAAAATAATGTAGAGAGTGAGCGAGAGCGCATTATCTCCCGGTTTTGTCTCTGTGCACCTCCAGCCAAAGAAACACTAGGTCACCTCTATTTTTATCAGTGTACCTGAGATCTTTAGAGCTGCCTAAGGGATTTAAACAACTCGTTCCCAAGGGAATGTATCCAAGATCATACAATCCTAGAGCTGGAAGAGACCTCAGGAGGTCATCAAGTCCAGCCCCCTGCCCAAAGCAGGACCAACCCCAACTAAATCTACCCAGCCAGGGCTTTGTCAAGCCGAGACTTAAACACCTCTACGGATGGAGATTCCACCCCCTCCCTAGGGAACCCATCCCAGTGCTTCACCACCCTCCTAGGGAAATAGTTTTTCCTAATATCCAACCTGGACCTCCCACTGTAATCTGAGACCATTGCTCCTTGTTTTGCCATCTGCCACCATGGAGAACAGCCTCTCTCCATCCTCTTTGGAACCTCCCTTCAGGCAGTGGAAGGCTGCTCTCAAATCCCCCCTCACTCTTCTCTTCTACAGACTAAACAAACCCAAATCCCTCAGTCTCTCCTCACAGATCATGTGCTCCAGCCCCTGAATCATTTTGGTCACCCTCCGCTGGGCCCTCCCCCATTAAGATCATTAAGGTAGTTTTGAAAACACCTCCCCCCTTCAGTGCTGCTTTTGGGGATAGATGACAAGCTGGTGAAAGTGCTGGTGGCTCTGTATACTGGTGCCCCTCTTCGCACAGTCCGAATCTCTTGGCTTGGAAAAGCGACGAGGAGTCCTGTGGCACCTTATAGACTAACTGAAGTGTAGGAGCATAAGCTCCAGTTAGTCTATAAGGTGCCACAGGACTCCTCGTCGCTTTTCCAAGCCAAGAGATTCGGACTGTGCGAAGAGGGGCGCTGCCCGCGTCTGTCCTGGGCCGCTGTGAAGATTTAGTCCTATGTTCTCTTCAGTGTCGTGATTAAGGGAAACTGTGATGAATGGCACAGGTAAAGAAGCTCTTTGAAATATACCTTGTAAGCCGTTATTATAATCCAATGATTGAAAACCCCCAGCACAGTTCAGTGGCTGAGCATTAGCTAGAGACTTGGATTCTGTTCCTAGCTGTGCCACTGACCTGCCGCGGGATTTGGGCAAGACACTGCCCCTCTCTCCGCCTGTTTCCCCTCCCACCTTTTGTCTGCTTTAGATACTGAGCTGTTGAGGGCAGAGGTGGTCTCTCACTGTGTGTACAGCCCCTAGCGCCCTGACGCGTTGAGCTCTATTGAGGTCCCCAGGTAGGATCATGATACAAATCATCAGAATACGTGCAGGTAGGAAGTGAGGCAGTTGGATTGACTTGACCTCTGTGGTGTTTCAGGCTCCCTGGAGGATGGACCCGAACTCAGTGAGGACTAAAGTCCCAGCCTTCTTGTCTGACTTGGGAAAAGCGACGCTCCGGGGAATAAGGAAATGTCCCCGGTGCGGCACCTACAATGGCACCCGAGGGCTGAGCTGCAAGAACAAAACCTGCGGGACGATCTTCCGCTACGGCGCTCGGAAGCAGCCCGGCGTCGACGCCGTGAAGATCATCACGGGCTCGGATCTGCAGATCTACTCGGTGCGGCAGAGAGACAGGGGGCCGGACTACCGGTGCTTTGTGGAGCTGGGGGTTTCCGAGACCACGATCCAGACGGTGGATGGGACCATCATCACGCAGCTCAGCTCCGGCCGCTGCTACGTCCCGTCGTGTTTGAAGGCAGCCACCCAAGGCGTGGTGGAAAACCAGTGCCAGCACATCAAGCTGGCTGTGAACTGTCAGACGGAGGCCACCCCTTTGACTTTGAAAAGCTCCATCTTAAATTCCATGCAGGCCCCCGCCGAAACTAAGCAAACCATCTGGCAGCTGGCCACAGAGCCCACTGGCCCCCTGGTGCAAAGGGTGACCAAGAACATCCTGGTGGTGAAGTGCAAGGCCAGCCAGAAGCACAGCCTGGGGTATCTCCACGCCTCCTTTGCTCAGAAGATGAGCAGTAAGAACGTGCCTGAGCACAGGTTTCTCTGCTCCTGCCAGACTCTGAAATCCAGCAAGGCCAGCTCTGCCCAGGGAGAGGCTGCCCAGAGATGCATTCACTTCTTCGCCTGCATCTCTTCCTTTGCCAGCGACGAGGCCTTGGCTCAGGAGTTCTCCGAGTTCCTCAGTTACGATTCCAGCGGTGAGTGGGGCTGGCACAGGGAGGGTTAGAGCGGGCGCGGGGGAGAGAGCGCAGGGTTTGGTGAGCAGCATTCAAGATGATGGGGGGTGTCTACAGTGAGGGTGGATTCCCTGAGCTCTGCATCCGTGCCCCCCTCTGAGGACTGCTAAGCCTTGGCTGCTGCAGGGCATTTCGATCTCCGGCTCAGGACACCAAGGTGGCTTGCAGAGCGTCAGAAGCCTAAGGGGACATCACCCTCTTCCCAGCCCCCCCAGCCTGGACTGCTCACCGCATCCCCATGTAAGCAACCCCCTTTACAGGAGGAAGCAGAACCCTTCCATGGTGGGTCTGAGTCAGGCACTAGCCCAGCTGATTAGCTGGCTGGTGTCCTCCCTGCCGGGTGCCTTCTGGGGAAGAAAATCAAGAACCCAGGAGTGGGAGGCAGATCCGAGTTTCTTGTGGGGGAGCTAAATGAAGAGGGAGCATCTGTCTGTTCAGGGGGAGGTTAATTAATGTTAATGGAGTTTTTTGGGGACTAATGAGTGTTAATGGGGGGTTTGGGGAACTAATGAGTGTTATTGGAGGAAGGAAGGGGATTTGGGCCCTTAAGGGCAGTATGGTAAGATATGACTGTCTAGCCCTGTTTAAATACAGCACTGGGCTGTTTTGGCTTTGAAAGAATCTATTCTCACGGCTCCTTCCCCGCCTGGGTTAGCATTGATAAGTTCTTTTGTTTGTAGGGAAGGTTCAAGGGTTTCACTAGGGGGTAGGAATACAGACCTGGGTGAGCTGCAGTTTTAACCTGAGTTTGGATGTTAGCACCAGCGGCCAAGAGAAGAGATGATGAGAAAGAAGGTTGTTTGTGTTTAACCTATGGGTTCCCTAGGGAGGTGGTGGAATCTCCATCCGTAGAGGTGTTTAAGTCTCGGCTTGACAAAGCCCTGGCTGGGATGATTTGGTTGGGGTTGGTCTTGCTTTGGGCAGGGGGCTGGACTTGATGACTCCTGAGGTCTCTGCCAGCCCTGGGATTCTATGATTCTAACCCTTCAAATACCTGGCTTATGTTCTTTAAAGTTTGGCTTGAGGTAATGAAAAGAAAGCCATTGCACCGCCTTGGGCAGAAAACCTTGATGGGGTTCAAATTCACCTTGTCTTACGTAGAGGAACAAAGTCTGCCTTCAGGGTTTAGTTCAGAGCTGATAACCAGTGCATAGAAGGCAAAGTTGTGGGGTTTTTTTAGGGTTTAGGGGTTTCTTCATTAGAAAGGCTCCTTCCCCCTGCTGTGATGGGAAACCTCTCCCAAGGTCTGCAGTTGTGCGTATTTGACCAACGCTTCTAAACGTATTGTCGCTATGACGTAAAGGTGCTATGACGTAAACATATGTGTTTGTATATGTATTTGATGATAAAAGAACACAAAAATGGAAGCTGAGTAAACTAATTAGGGAAGTTGTTTCTGACATCTGGTTAAGCCAGATTGGCTGTGGGAACATTAAGAACTTGATTTTTGTAGTTGTTTAGGGGCCTAATGATAGAGCATGTTGTGCTGGAAGTCTGTAGAAATGAAAGGGAGTTAAGCACTGAGGTGCTCTTGAAAATTTCGAGCAGCATCTAGCATCTTTGTTAGATTTAGGTGCCTAAATACCTTGAAAAATGTTGGCTCTATGAGCTTAATTCTGATTTAGGCCAGTTTAATTAAGATCATGAATGGCCCTACACCAGGGCAAATGATTGTCTGTACTGGGAAGCGGGGGAGAGGCGCCGTCACAGATCACGGTCCCTTGTGCTAAGTGCTGAGAAGTTGGTGTGATCTACTTCTGGCCCGTACTGCCCAAACTACATTCACACCACTGCTGACTTGCTGTGTGACCCTAGGCAAGTTACTTAATGCGTCGGTGCCTCGGTTTCCCCATCTATAAAATAGAACTGTTTAATGAAGTGCTTTGAGATCTTTGGGTGAAAAATGCTAAAGAAGGGGAAGGCATTACGGTTATTGTTCAGCTGTTGGTAAGTGATTGATACCATGTCTACATTTAGCATCACAGATTTGCCAATATGTCCGTTCTGGGCCAGGTTAATCTCTGATGTAACACCATTTAACCTGGTGGGTCTACAGCAGGAGAGAAATTGGCCTCTTTAGTTTTTTGCCTCTTACATTCCAAAGTGATCCCTTCAGGCATATTTTGGAAATCAGCAAGGCACTGGAGCAAGCACGTACAGTCCTACTGAACTCAGAGTTGTGCCTGTCTGCACTGGGAATAAATCTTGCCTTTAGTAAGGGTGCCATTGTGCTAGGCGACATCCACTAATTCTGGAGCAAAAAGCCCTGCACAAAGAAGGGCTGGAGACCCAAGTTTACACTGACATCTTGTCTATGTCTGTATTCATTTTGATTGTCCCTCCACCTCCACACACACACACACCACTCATACCCTGGCACACTGCTGTCAGTTATGACTCCTTCCTCTTCATCCCTCACCCTATTTCCAATTTTAACTTGACAAATAATTCTGCTTAGTTCTGGCCACAATTGTTTTAATCCTTAGAGTTGTGCACATGTGGGAAATAAGCTCTTTTCTCATTGTAAAAGTTGCTACCTATTTTTTTCTCACCTATAACTCAAGGAAGCTGAACTCTGGGAATATGGCTTGTTGACAGTCCGTGATCTGTACTTGTGTGATCAAGGATTACTCATGTGAGTTAGGGATGTTAAAATGCATTTAGTTAAGTAACTGTGTCACTGCTGACATTTTCAGCTCCCACCTGCCCCCCTGCGCTGCTGCCTCTCATACTTTAAGCCGAGTCCTCGTATGTACCAGGAGCCTGCATGTAACCGTGAAGGTTAACCGATGATCCCAGTCTCCATGTTAACCATGTGCACGGTTACGCTTTCACATTCCTAATGTGAATAAGAATTTGCAGAAACAGGTCTCTTATTAACATGGAGGGGGAGCCAGGATTAAAAATGAACAGAGCAGTGAATGTTTGAAAATACAGACTAAGTTCAGAGCTTGCACTTTCCTGTGAGTAACCTCCCACTTGGGTAGCCCTACGGAGTTTGGCTGGACTAGGCACATGTGTAAGATTAAGCATGCACATACATGTTTGCAGGATCAGGGCCATGCTATTGCCTTTGTGCTTAATTTTAATTGATTAATTACAAAGACTCACGGGTTGGTTTTTTCCAGGTCTCAAGGGGATCATAGTGCCCCAGTTAGTCTGCCATCCTGAATCCACCCTGCAGGCTGGCGAGCCCACTGCTTCCAAGCCAAAAAAGAGGAAAAAGGATGAAACATCTGGTAAGGGACCGTTTCAGTTCTTTAATCGGAGTTTCAGGGGGATCTGTAGATTGTAGCAGATCATTGTTGATCTGGATGAACCTTTGAATCTTCTAACCGGCCGATGATTTTTAAGGGGATTTAAGAGGCTTACTTTATCTCAGTGCTGTCTCTGAGTGCGCAGAGGCGCTGGCTGATAGAGGTGGAACACACCTCGTCAGTTCCATCCCTGTGCAAGGAGGGAGCCCCTGGGGCTCTCAGCTGTAAATGTGAAGTGGGGCTCTTAATAGGTAACAGGTTCACCGGTTACCCGATAAGCATCGCCCCTAACAGTTACAGGTAACTGGCATCCAGGTAACAAATAACTGGCATCCAGGAGCAGGTCCCTGCTTGTGGCCTGCTGCGGGCAGAGGGCTGCTCCAGCCCCACTGGATCCCTGTGAGGGGCTGCCAGCTTCCAGCCCACCTGCATGGGGCCAGAAGCAGCTGGGCTGGGGCACCTCCTGTGCCCACCCCTGCCATCTCTCCTCCTCCTCCATTTAATCAGTTAATTGGTAAAACTTAACATTTAGCTGGATAATTAAACTAGATTTTACCTCCCTAATCAGAAGCTACTGTTCTGACTCTGCAGGTTACATAGGATATGTGGCTAAAGTGTGGAAAGTAAAGCTCTTTTCAATTGAACCTAAGGTACACAAGGAAATAGCCCACTCCTGGCTCAAGATCCAGCCAACAGCAATCTGAGGAAAAGTGGACTGAAAAAGCCAGCTGTTGCCTCTTCACTAAAAAGGCAAGGTAAGGTTCGTGGGCCCTGCCCCTGAGCCGTACGAGCAGCAGAAATACAGAAATGTCTAGTAGGTGGCAAAAAATGATGCAAACCACAGTTCATCTCCTTAGCTGTGGTGAATTAGCATAGCTCCATGCAAGTCAATGGAGCCATGCCTGTTTACACCAGCCCATGATTTGGCTCAGGTTGCCTTAACCCATGTGAAAGAAACGTTATGGACCTGATTCTCCTCTCTCCTGCGCCGGAGTAACTCTTTTGACTTCAGTGGAATAACTTCAGGTTTTCAGGGCACGTCTACACCGCCTGCCAGATTGAGGGGAAGGGATCAATCCAGCAGAGGTTGATTTGTCATGTCTACTATAGATGTGATAAATCAACCGCCGAGCACTCTCCCATTGACTCCAGTACTCCAGCAGAATGAGAAGCATAGGCAGAGATTGGGGGGTGGGGAGGACCTGCCATCGACTCACCACAGTGACGGCACTGCGGTAAGTAGATCTAAGCACTTCGACTTCGTTATTCACGTAGCTGAAGTTCCGTAAATTAGATCAATGGCCCGTGATAGTGTAGACTGGTCCTCAATGGAGGAAGATGAAAATCAGAGCCTGTATTCCCGAGCTCTGGTTCTGTGCTGCTTTTCTGTAATTCTCCCTGCACACTGGCAAAGCTACACACCGGAGTAGCAGATCTGTCTGCAAGAGGGTGCTGGCTCATTCTCCGGGGTAGCTGCTTTGATTTATTCTTTGGAGCGGGGACAGTGTTGTGCTTATATAAAATCAAACATTTAAAATGGTGGTGTAAGATGAAACTGAACAGTTTGGCCAAATTGGAACAGAAATCTGACTGCAGCTTTTATCTGGCCTTTGCTCCTATCTCCCAACTGTGTGTCAGTGTGAGATGATCCTTTGCCAGAATTAGTGACTAGAAACATTTTACAACCACTCAATGGCAAATATTTGTGCAAAAAGATAAGCCAGGTTCTGTCTTTTTCACCCAGACTGTTTTCAGTTTCTATGTGCTCTCTTGTCCCATACACACTGACAAATCTACCCAAAACAATAAGAACATGAGAATGGCTTTACTGGGTCAGACCAAAGGTCCATCTAGCCTAGTGTCCTGTCGTCCGACCGTGGCCACTGCCAGATGTCCAAGAGGAAATGAACAGAACAGGGAATCATCAAGCGATCCCTTCCCAGTCACCCATTCCCAGCTTCTGACAAACAGGTTAGGGACACCATCCCTGCCCAGCTTGGCTAATAAGTATTGATGGACCTAACCTCCATGAATTGATCTAGCTCTTTTTTGGACCCTGGTATAGTCTTGGATTTCACAATATCCTCTGGCAAGGAGTTCCACAGGTGCACTGTGATTAGTGTGAAGAAATACTTCCTTCTGTTTGATTTAAACTTGCTACCTATCAATTTCATTTGGTGACCCATAATTCTTGTGTTATGGAAAGGAAGGAATAACTCTTCTTTATTCATTTTTCCACACCAAAATAGGAGTCATTGGCCAGGTTCATTTGTGCTTTTAATCTTATTCTTACAGTTACAGAATCATAGTACACTAGAACTGGAAGGGACCTCGAGAGGTCATCAAGTTGAGTCCCCTGCCCTCCCAGCAGGACCAAGCATCATCTAGATTTTTTTTTTCTCAATGAAAATTTTTCTGGACCCCTTTTATTGAGTCTGGGGGTCGCGAATGCAAAAAGGTTGCACACCCCGATCTAGATAATCTCGGAGGGTATGTCTACACTACAACGTTAATTCGAACTAACTTAGTTCGAATTAGTTAATTCGAACTATGCTAATTCGAACTAACGGATCCAGACTAAAAAACTAGTTCGAATTAGCGTTTTGCTAATTCGAACTAGCATGTCCACATTAAGTGGACCCTGAACCGGGCTTAAGGATGGCCGGAAGCAGTGCCGGCAGGGCATCAGAGGAGGACTTAGAGTGTGGCGCTGCTGTCTCAGGCTAGCCGAGGGCTGTGCTTAAAGGGTCCCGACCCCCACCCCAGAGAGACAGTTCTCAGGGGTGCCCCGCTTGCAAAGTAGTCCTGGCTTGGATTGCCCGGAGTACCCACACTGGGCACATCACACCACTCGGCCATCAGCCCGGCTGCACTTGCCGCAGGCTGCCATCTGGAGAGAGGGGACAATTGGGGGGCTGCAGGAGAGCTTCCACCCCCAGAAGCCCGCAGAACCAGCCAAGTCCTGCCCATGGGGGCTCGTGCTCCATTCCTCCCTCACCTCCTTCCACTTACCCTTCCCTAGCCCCCCTTCCTGATGTACAAAATAAAGATAACGTGTCTTCCAAAATGGAATCTGTCTTTATTGAACAAAACTGGGGGAGACTGGGAAAAGGAGGTGGGAGAGGGGAAGAGAGAGGCTGGGAGAGGGGAGGGCAACTACAATGATCAGTGGTTGGGAACAGGTCCCATATGAAGAGAGGCTACAGAGACTGGGACTTTTCAGCTTAGAAAAGAGGAGACGGAGGGGGGACAGGATAGAGGTCTCTAAAAGCAGGAGCTGGGTGGAGAGGGTGCATACAGAAAAGTTCTTCATTAGTTCCCATAAAGAAGGACTAGAGGACACCAAAGGAAAGGAATGGGTAGCAGGCTTCAAACTAGTAACAGAAAGTTGTTCTTCACAAAGCAAAGAGTCAACCTGTGGAACTCCTTGCTGCAGGAGGCTGTGAAGGCTAGAACTGGAACAGAGTTTAAAGGGAAGTGAGATCAAGTCATGGAGGTTGGGTCCATGGAGTGGTATTAGCCAGGGGGTAGCAGTGGTGTCCCTGCCCAAGGTTTGTGGAAGGCTGGAGAGGGATGGCACCAGACAAATGGCTTGGTCACTGTCTTCGGTCCATCCCCTCCAGGGTCCCTAGGGTTGGCCACTGTTGGCAGACAGGCTACTGGGCTAGATG